CTATCACCATGGATTGCGATGGAAGGACGGGATGGTCCAGTACAGCGAGGCGAAACGCCTGATCACGGCGGCTGTATTTGAAGATGATACTATCGTGTACGTCAAGGGACGTGAGAAACGAACGTGGAACATGCTTCTGGATAATGAACGAGAACGCATGTACATCAAGACCTTGGACGCAGTATACGAAGACATGGAATCGATGCCTACTCTGGACGTTGCTAATACTATTCGATGTGGACAACATATTAAGATCTGCGCGTTACAAAACGTATTTAAAATATATAACTGGTGGTTGCAAAAAAATTTTTAAATAAAAATACGTTAACGTATTGATTACTTATTTCTTTTCCCTTACTTTGTAATACGTATATTCGTACGTATGAACGTGTATGTACGAACGTGTACGTACGACCGTGTACGTACGAACGTGTACGTACGACCGTGTACGTACGAACGTGTACGTACGAACGTGTACGTATGAACGTGTATGTATGAACGTGACATGTCCGATCTGACAGTGCATATATGCAATGTATATAGGCAGTGTATAAGGTTTTTTTTTTAATTGTAAGTTTCAATTACGAGCGTTAAAATATGGATCGAGTAAGAGACTACATACACCGAAAATCAGAAAATTACCCTCTCTACGATTCTAAAAGTTTTACCATATACGTCGCAATTTACGCGGGTACAATCAGTCTTGTGATACTCACTTGTACGGACGGTTGAAAAATGTATTGGGTATGGGAATAAGTTTCCGCCAATTGTAGAAAGATGTCGTTAGTAGCATTTCTTTTGTGTTTGATAAAACGGTAACACATGTGTTTGAAAGGTTTGTGTTCAAACTTTTGAGCCCAATAGTTGGCATTCGTTCCAAGCGTAAAAAAGAGTAACTTTTTTGCGTTGAAGATGTCGGAATTTATTCCAAAAGAGCAACATTTACGGGAAGTTTTACTCCATTATTTTACAATATTTTAAAGAAAAGTGCTGCAGAATCGCATCGTTTGCTCGTAGATGTTTATGGTGAGCATGTTCCATCGAAAACCAGTTGTAAAGAATGGTTTCGGCGATTCAACAGTGGTGATTTTGACGTGCGTGACAAAGAACGCGAAGGTGCACCGAAAAAATTTGAAGATGCAGAATTGCAAGCATTACTCGAAGAAGATTCATGTTTATCGCCCGATAGGTTGTCAAAAGAATTAAATGTTGATAGATCCATTGTTGAGAAACGTCTACACGCAATGTGAATGGTGCAAAAAGAAGGAAATTGGGTGCCATACAAATTGAAAGAGAGAGACATGGAAAGACGTTTGGTCATCTGCGAGATGCTTCGTCAACGACAACAAAGGAAGGGTTTTCTACATCGTATTGTAACTGGCAATGAAAAATGGATCTACTACGATAACTCTATACGCTTGAAAGCAAGGGTGATGCCAGGTGAACCAGGTCCATCAGCACCAAAACGAAATATCCATGCTTCGAAGATTATGTTGTGCATCTAGTGGGATCAGAGAGGTGTTATATATTATGAGCTGCTCAAACCGTCCGAAACCATCACTGGCGATCGTTATCGACTATA